AGCTCAAGAGAACTAATTAGAGCATGAATTGACCCTGAGCTTTCCTTGCCTGATCATTGTCACGTCTCATCCTTTGCTTAGAATCTTGTTAGTTGGAGGCTATTCAACCTTGTGTGAGGCTGGGGTGTCCTAAAGAGCTCTGGGAACACTCCAGCAAGTATTCTGCAAAGCATTTCTGTGTAGAAGGTCTTGGTCTAGGTCTTTGTCCCAAACCTCTTTGTGAATCCCACAATAGACAGTATTGCCTGTCATCGCATGGCTGTGTCCAGTGTAGGCACATAGGAATCATATACAACATGGTGGTACTATATGTCACCATGTTGGCTGCCTGTCCAACAGCCATTCTTTCTGCTTTTGCTCCAATATGGCAGAGTTCACCTGTTACAATAGAAGCCAACAATATGAGATACTTACTTTCCCAGACTCCTTTGCAGCCAGAATGGCCATATGACCCAGTTCTGCTAAAAAAGACATAATAAGTGAGACTATCTTGGGGGAGCTTCTGAGAAGGATTTCCCTCCCTGAGTGATAATCGAAAGACATCAAAGGCAATACAGAAAGTTACATGAATATAAAAACCTCAACTTTTTAAAGTTCATAGGATTTATCTTGATAAAACAGAAAATATTTGTTTCTCGGGCCAGTTACCAAAAGGTAAAGAAATACCTTCTGCAGTGCAATTGTTTCGTCTCATGCGAAGCCCCTTTAAACAACTTGGAAGTCAAACCTGATGAAAAAGGTACTTGAACTAATTGGGCATAAGAATGGTGTGTCCAGGGTCAAGAATGAACATTTTATTATAACAGAAACAAGAAACTAGAAAACTAGTACCTTGAATAGGGGAACATGTGACTCTTAATAACGGCATGGGAAGTTCGTGGGGTTTTTTTGACCATATTGAACAATTCAAACATATCAAGAAGCTATGAATAAAACAATGCTTTTTTAGACCTTTAAGGCAAACATTTCAGAGTCAGATCATAATAGCAGACTTAGAATCAAAGGGAAAATCAGTTACAGGAGCTAACAAAAATGTTCAAGGAGAGGGTTATCATCTCAGCCCTTCTCAAGTAGAGAAAAAAACTGAAAGTAGCAAGACACAGCAAAAGTTGAACTTCTGAGGTATAAATCCCAGAAGTTTCAAAAGAAGCAGATTATAGAATTAGAATCAAAATGTTTTACACTTTCACTAAGAGCAAATCAAGACTTTAAGAAAACCTCATTGTTTTAAGCCCCAATTTTTCTCTCTTAATTATAGTTAACTTGATCACATAGAAAATTTCTTTCATAAATTCCCTTTCACAAACCTCGTCATGATTTACAGCATTTACAACATGCTTGGACTTTCTGTTTTGTCCTGAATTCCCCTTTTCTAAATAACCAGTCATTTTACATTAGGACAAAAATTTGCCATACAAGGTCCTTTCTCATACAAAATCATTCTCTTTTCTGTTTAACCTTTCTTACCAAAAATATATCATTATATCCATAACTTTTTTCACATCTCTATCTCTTACTTATTGGTCCCTTTCTACCTTCTTTCATAAATAATCTTAACCTCCAAATTAGACAAAATTATCCTTTATTTTTCAATAAAGACCACATTTTTATGTCATTCTTTTTTTTTTTTTTTGAGACAGGGTCTCACTTTGTCACTTAGGCAGGAGTACAGTGGTGCCATCACAAGTCACTACAGCCTCAAACTCCTGGGCTCAAGGGATCCTCCTGCCTTAGTCTCCCAAGTAGCTGGGACTACAGGTGCATGCCACCATAGCCAGCTAATTTTTCTATGTTTTTAGAGACAGGGTCTCGCTATGTTGCCCAGGCTGGTCTTGAAATCCTGGCCTCAAGTGATCCTCCTGCCTCGGCCTCTCAAAATGCTGGGATTACAGTCATGAGCCACTGTGTCCAGCCTAATTTTTCTTATTAGAAAAACATTTTATTCTTTGGTACACTTTGTATATACAATTATATATGTTGATGAGAATTTTTATTCTTAGTAGCCTAAATTTTAGTGAAAATCTAGGAAGCAAGAAAACTTCAATTATCTCTCACATATTAGTATTTTATAGATGAGAACTTTTTTATAAGTTTTAAACACGTTTCCCCATAACATAGTTTTTTAAATTGAAAATGACCCAGACACTTAATGAGTATCTGTTGTTTGATTTAATATAATGTTACGATTTAAAATTATATGAAAA